TATATATATATATATATATATATATATATATATATATATATATATATATATATATATATATACTATCCCCAGACTCTTGAAAAAAGCATGTACATGCACATACATATAGAACAGTGGAAGCGTAGCAGAAATAGTGGGGTCTTTATAAGTTAAGTGGTTGAAATGTTAGAAAACGTACTGAATTGACGTCTTCCCCAACGATCCTCCTTAGAATCATCAGATCCTTTATCAGATAATTCCAGCACTGCAAAAAAAAAAAAAAAACAATATTCCTACTAGTTTTCTTTAATTCCAATTTATTGACACATCCTTCTTATTAGTTTTTAAATCGAAAAATTGCATTCTGAATGAAAACAATGAAGACGATTTATGGGAAAATGAACATGGTATCAATAATTACTCTGTGCTTTCGATTAGTTCCTTGTTCACCGAAGAAGAGAATTCTGTCAACCTTCAATACGGGATGACTGACTGCTTTGTACGATTGAAATAATCGGATATATGCATATATATTTAAGAATATGTACAGCCACGTAATCCGGTAATACCCAAGCCGTAAGGCTGAAATTTGCAGCTTTTCAGTTATAACAATTACAAGTGAATATATGGTGTCTTTCTACAAGTCTAGAAATTTCTTTTCTGAACCGGTAAACGGTTGGAAGTCTCCTAAACAGTCTCTGTTCGTTACATAAGAAGCTTTCACTTCACGAATTACCACCTATTCATAACACTATCACGTAATATAACTAATTTTCTACACAACAACCTGATCTCCTTTCAAACACCTCCCAAACACACCGGAAATCCTCGACCGACCGCTCCTGTACAGCAGCAACTCTGTTTTTGACTGCAATCATAGATTTGAAAATTTAAAATATCCGCTACATTGTGCAACAATCGTGAAACTGGACATCCCATCAGGTTACGGTGAACAGTTACGAAATAACTTCTATGCGATAAATGCAACTTTCACTTTTATTCGGTAGGTTTAACTTTAATCGATAAGCATAATTTGATCTAAGTCGTACATATTGAAATAGATAGCGATAAGAAAATGATAAGGAGATCATCAATGTGCTTAACGATAAGGCACTTGTTCGCCGAATATCCTTCCTCTTATCATCGATGGCATGACCCTTCCTACGAATCAGTTTACATTCAATGAAAGTAACTAATACATGTCCAGAATGTACTTCTGGAATATTGTCGATAACAGGAAATCGGAAATATGGGAGAAGCCTACTATGTGATAGAATGTGTAGATCAAAAGCTCGCTTTCTTAGCAAAATTAGCCCAATGTTCTACTGTTTGACGTCCCAAATCGAAAACAAGCGAATGTAATTCCAGGCTTTTTCCAGTATGCATGTTATTGTTACGTCGTGATGATATTTGTGGTGCTGCAGAGATGGTTGCAGTGATTGGTTCTGCTTCCGCATCACTGCTACTTTCCACCCATCCTTCACTGCTTTCATTTGCGGTATTGACGCTCATCATCACTTCACAAAATTGTTCAAAATCACGACTTTGCATTTGCAAGCTTGACCGTACAAAATTATCACTCCGATTGCTTCGATTACGCCAATGTGCAGTTCTTGCCATTGATGTAGCTGCATTCAGTCGCCTACAACACATCACATTGCGATTTAGATCATTGTTTTTGTTTTATACCATTAGTTCAACTTTAAACCTATCTTGTTATTTGATCAGATCTAGATCAGATTCAATGCTTTATCTCCCACAACAATACCGCTCTTTGAAATTGATCTGCTAAAAATTACAGTTTTATCACAATTATTCTGATTTAAATCCTGTAAGATCCTACTTTGATACTCGCAGAGGTTTCCCGTGTTTTCGTGAATACTGTTTCTCGACTTTACTGATACACTTTCGTAATGGTGCACATGTCAACCACTGCCCATAAGTTAAACGCATACGTTCGTTGAAATATGCATAGATAAATGGATTACACATATGATTACATAACCAAACCTATAATAGCACATTTTATACCACCGCACAACAATAATTCTAATTTTCTTTTTTCCCATTTATTACGAATTAGATTTACATTACAGCTTAAGCAACCTTAAGTAATCAGTGTTAAACTTTAGTACTTGGAGCTGATATATTTTCTGTTATGAGGAAACTCATCGCTTCATGAGTGATAGGATAACTTTTAAGTAAGCCTGAATGTTGGCCAGTTGAAGCTCTCCAAACCACCAGTATATTTATCATCATGGTGACTAAACCGAATAACATCTATGTCCAACATTAATTGCAGTTATTATCACAAATTGCATCTCACTACTTACTTACTGTTTCCCACAAAAGAGTCTGTTAATTAGCAACAAAAAAGTTATTGAATTCGACTTTGCAAAATCGTTTTACCAAATGTAGAGAAACAAATTGCCAAAAGGTCAATATATCAATCATGAATGGTTTAGCAAAGAATATAATAGATGAAATAGTACAAATGAGGGATGGATAAAAAAATTGAAATGTTAAACGAGCCTGAAAAAAAAAAAGCATAAAGTTTTTATTCGTGATTAAATTGTGGTATAAAGATAAGAAGAAGTTGCAGTCATAAATGCATCTACAAGTCTTATCAACCTTTATGATCTAGAAAAACATTGCTTTTTTTCCACCGATTGGTTGGTTGATTGATGCATGAAGTAACTGTAGTAGCAGTAGTGGCAATATTCCTTTGCAAGAAATATATTTAATATGTTACGATAAAATAGCTCACCTGTTTTTTAAATCTTTTAGCACTGCCAATATTTAACTTGTTACAATTAATTTTATGCCGAACTTTATATATTTTTATAAGTACCATTAGAGAACACGACCATTGCGCTAATATGCTGGCAAAATTGAAGGATGATGCAAGTACCATAAATATTGCTATAGATAGCTATATTTTAGAGATAATTTCTTGTTCATTTTTCCTTTTTTTCTTTTTTTAAATAACTTCATTAAAATAACTTCGAATGAAGAAACATCAATAATTTTAATTTTGTTTTAAGCAAAAATTTTACTAATTTGTGCGAAGTTAATGGTGAAATTATTTATACTGAAGTTCCACTCAAATATCTTTCAGAAGAAAAGTGAAATATAAGAAACTATACCTGGCCTTCTTCCAGCTGTGCTCAAAAAGCTCACTGTCCACATATTAGCTCGCATACCTATCAATGGTACGGGCATTGTTCCGATATAAGCTAAAAGCTAAATCGTTAGCTGAAGAACAAGGAAAAGGTAAAAAGCTGATCCTTGATATGGTAGGCTTAATTAGTTTTATATTAGATAAAGTGAAGATGAGACAGAGAACAATGGTCAAAAAAGAAATGATTAAGCATCAAAATACACATTTTCTACCACATTGTTTCATTACATATCATCTTATCAAAGGTAAATCATTACATATCATTTTATCAAAGTGTAACAGAAAGTTACACTACTTGCGAATTGTAAAGTTAAACGAAAATTCCCGATGATTTCCTCACTCATTGTTTGAAAACCTTTTTAAAGTTTATTAATTAATTATTTACGCTAGTATATTCTTCTTTTCTTTCTTTTTCTTTCCCCTCATTTCCGTACATATTTGAACCTAACTCAGGATTTCTGATCCTCCGTCCAATATTCACGTTAAATGATTACTCAAATACCTGCAGTAATACCGATAAGCCATGTTATGGTAGAACCAACGAATGCAAATGACACTCGATTGATTGTTTTAGCACGTGTACGGTAAAAGCAAATAGCAACACAACGGTTGATACCCAATAATGCGTGACTTATTATTCCGGCCGTCCAGGCAGCTATTTCAAGAAATGATAATAAGAATACGGAAAAATGTAGATTTTCCAGAAATGTATTGGACTGACTGCCATTTACATTGTACAATTCATTTTTGACTTCATCCATCCTTAAAGTTATAGGATCAATCATAACATTGTTGCTGTTTAGAAGTTCAACGGAATTATTAGCAGCATTGTCGTAATTGAGAAAAGGCACTTGGACAATATTGAGACCACATGCGAGACCAGCAATAATGAGCATAATAGCATCAGCCAATGCAATATTAGCCATAATGGTATAAGCTGATAAGCGATACATCCGACAGCAAGTAATCATTAGTAATGTTGTCATATTACACAATGAACCAATAATTCCAATGAATATGTAAACTCCTCCAACAGCACTTGTCAATCCATCAGAATCGAATAATTCCCCAATCATTCTAAATTTTTTTACCATTTTGATCGTCTACAATTGAATAATTCTTTAATTGCATTTTGTTTTGTCCTGTAAATGAACCGTATTATGCTTGTTGAAATGGATGATAACGTTAGAAGATAGTATCACTTACACTAAGATGAATGTGCAAACTTCATATTTTACTTTAAAACTGTAGCAATTGCAATATATGTAACATCTCTCAATAGCAAAAACAAAAAACGAAAAGGTTGCAAAGAATCATATGACAAGCTGAAATCATATCAATGATAACAATTGGTAAGTTATACTGTAACATTCTATTCCATTTATTCACAAAAATGAATTAACCAGAATAAGAATGAAAAAGTAAAATACAATGTTATCGCCTAAATAAAAATCTTTAAATGCTGAAAAATGAATAAAACATTTAGTGAAGGTTTAAAATAAAATTTTCCGTATGGAAGTCATGAAAAATAAATGAAAGATATGGAACCGCCTATTAGTTCGATGAGTAAATTGCTTCGAGGGAATTTTTGAGGGGAAAAAGAAATACATGGAAGGTATAAAACAAGGGCGAACTTGAAAATTGTGAAAAAGGGAGGAGTGAATGAATTGATATGAATGCTAATAAAGGCTTGAAAATATTGAGGAAATATCACTCATTCACTTACATACATACATAGTGTATGAATTTATTTTTTTTTTTTTTTTCTAAGCCATATCACCCACATATATACATGTTTTTTAGCAAAAATATATGCTTATAAAATGATTGCGGAAAATTTGAAAACTCTCAAAACCTCTTCACATTGAAATCAGTTGGAAGTAGTAAAATAACAGTAATTTATATCGGTCAAACTACATGATGTTCACTTTTTCTTCCTCCATTTTCCTTTTCCGATAATCAGTTGGAGTAAAGGCTATTTGTTCAGAGAAAAAATATCAATTAAAATTTTGCTATTTTTCTAAATTTTAGGACAAAACCAAAACAGAATTAAAAGAGGAAAGGTATGGATAACATTATAGACTAAATGAATTGTTATAAATTTGCATTTAAATGTCAGCTATTAACTAGCTCGACTGAAAACCACAGCTTGAAGTGATATATTTATCAGCTGATAGATGACGATCCATAGCAGTTTCATTTGTCATTCTCCCTATTTGGTACTTGCTTAAGTATCGCACGGCCAATTAACAGGATAAGTTCATCTTTTCTATTTGATATAATCATTTCTTCTGCACTAAATTTTTCTTAATGATAATTTGAAATACAATCAAATGAATGATTGCTTCCAGTTATGAATGTGATAGAAATGTATTGATGATTGCGCAACTTATAAAATTAACTTTCTTCAAATAATGTAATCATATGGTAATCATTATTTCAATTATCTTGAAATTAGTTTATAGCAAAACTCACTCTTAATATAAAAATTAGCAATAAACTTTTTCATTTATTTAATAACTAATCTGTTGGAAATATTTCATAAGAGGATAAGATGTTGAACAAAATTCATTTTGCATGATTCTATTGAATGTTTAATCATACAGAATCTTTCTTATTTTTTCATCCTATTATTTGCAGTTAATCCAGGATTTCAAACATCTTTCAGCAACAGTAAACCTTCTATCTGGATTTAGCGCATGTATAATGCAACTTTTGCGCAAAGCATTTTTTTTTTTTCAACGCTATAACTTCGCATCATTCTTTATTAACCCATTGAAATTGATCAGAATTTCCATTATTTTTCATGAGATTACTTTAATGGTAACATAAATTATAATTGAAGCATTAATCAGAAAGATTGAAGTGTGCTGTGAATTCAATAAAAACAAAACAAAGGAAACAAAAAAAGAAAAAGAAAAAACACCATGAATAAAAAAATGAAACTTCTCCGAATTTAATTATATATACCCATTTACTGTATATTAAAATTTTTGAACTAAATTCCTTTGTATCTCTCGACACAATGATGTCACAATAGGAAATAATAGCTGGAAACGGATAATTGGATGATTCGCCTGTTGATGACAGCGAAATTTCCACTAATAATAATATTCCTGAAAGTATTATTTGCAAATATATCTCATGAACAAAAGTTCTTATCAATATTGTAAAAAAAACTTTTGATACATATTTAATTTTTCAAGAAAACTTACGATTGTAAAATTTAAAAAAAACAAAGAATCTAAACTTTGCATTACATCCACTTTATCAATTGAATCAAAAAACGACAATTTAGAATTGTTTGACAAAAAGAAATTTCAATATCTGTTAATTTTTTTGGGATTATTCTTTGTCATTAATTTAAGGATTTTAATTAATTCATTCATTCATTTATTACAACTTTTGAAAAAAAAACGGAAAATATGTATTTATCACTGGATTAAACAAAAAAGAATTATTCTAGTTTCCAAATACTTGAATATCGTGATTGATTTCAATTAACTGGTATCAACCAAAACCGTTCGCTGAAATGAATTGAGCATGCGAAACAATACATTCATAATCATATAACACTTGAAAAAAACCTTACATTATAATAAATTGATGAAATTATTGATCTTTAACATTTTCTTTTGGTGATATTAATTAGTGTTATGTGAAGCAGATCTTTTATCACCAACAAACATTCGTAATGCTTCTAAATTTTTTGCAGTAATCTGGAAGTAATATCATTGATTTCTTGCAATAACCAATACTGATAATATTATTATAAATTTTGCAATATAATAAGCCGATATGTTTGATATAAATCAAACTCGATGATACAAGCTATATTATAATTAAGCTTACTACAAGCTATGTTATGATTAAGCTTACTACAAGCTATATTATGATTAAGCTTACCTGTCATATTGCATTCTTTTTAAGTTTGTTGAAGAATTATTATCAATCAAATATTTCATTTAAAATCAATTTTCAAACAATCGACGTAATATAAACAATTGCATTATTAACAAAAAAAAGAAAGAGGGGAAAAGAAAAAAATATTCCAAAATATTATACTATAAATTGAACAGTTATTGCGTCGAATTATTTTTCAATGAAAAAGAAAAAAGTTAATTAACAAAACTATCCTAATGAAATTTTTTTCTCCAATCAAAATATTTTTTATTGTTGCCATAGATATAATAAAGAACTGTGTTAAATTTATACGAAAATAACAAAGATAAAAAATGCAAGAGGGACGAAGAAAATTTTTATTATAAGAAATGAAATGTTAAATATCATTAGATAAAAATTGAAAAAAAAAATTCACTAAATAAATATTTTCCAACCTGAAAAAGTAACAAAAACTATTCTAATTGAATTTTCAAATTAGATTTTCATCAAAGAATATTTTAAAATTGAGCTTTTCAAAACAAGAAACGATCGTCGAAGGAATGCAAATGATTGATTACTAGTAAATACTGGCGAATATCCTTTTAATTTTCAAAACATTGAATTTCATCTTCAAATTGTATCATCTAATTAAGATGTTCAAGATGTTTGCATTTTAAATTTACAGACAAAAAAAAAAAAAAGAAATGAAAAAGAAAAGAACAAAAATTTATTTGACTGGTGCTCTTTACAAATTAAATTATAGTGAGTTTAATATTGTGAATGCTCATAGCTTTATTATCAGCAAATGATTGTTAACAATTATCAGGAGCTAATTTGGGGAAATAATAATTAATGATAATTGTTATGTTATCTGAAGCCAATTGTTGGAAAATAATAATGATAATGAATACTATGAAGTAATTATTATTATATTTACAAATTCTGTTTGCAAAATTTATCATTTTATAGTTTTTATAATTAAATCAATTCTTATAATTAAATCAATTCTTTTATAATTAAATCAATTCTTTATCAATTCATTTATAATTAAATCAATTCCTTACCTTTTTTATCTTTTTTTTTTGATCGGACTTTCAAATGGGAATAAAATATAATATCTATTATTTCTAAAACAAAAGGGAACAGCAAAAATAACGAAAACAGCCAAAATATTTGTTAGGATGGGTAATAATTTAATTTATCGGAAATGAAAATTATAAGAAAAACTATTAGGTGACATAATTTCTGTCACAATTTTCGATATAATTGTTGTGTTAGATATTTCTTTCAAAAGCATGCGCATATTGGATCAGAATTTAGACAAATCAATATGATGGTTATTACATCAATAAATATGGCAATCACGTATAATCAAACTTGTCATTTTTATCTAACTTTTATTTATGCAAAATAATATGCAGGGAGATGTTTAAAATATCCAAATATAAGATATACTTCTTTCCTACAGCGATATATAACTGTATTTATCTTTCAAATACTATCAGCATAACTTATCATTGTAATTGCAATCATTACTTCAGTTTTTATCAGTGCTTCAAAAAGAAGTCACTTTTGATTTTAACATTTTCTATTAATAGTTTCATGTTTCTCTGCTATTTCTAAATATATTAGTATCTGTCAAATGTTTTATTGTCATATTGTTGGATATCCTAGTGATATCCTTTAAAAATACACATTTTCCTTTAACTTTGATCGATAAAAAAAGCACTAAGCATCGCGAATTCTTTGATTCTTCTTTTTTATATAAATTTGAAATAATTTCGAAAGTATTTAAATAATTATTATTTCTAAATAAATCAATGATCATTGATTTTTTTTTTTTCATTAACAATAGTAATAGCATATATTTTTCAAATGAAAATGCATAGCTTTGAAGGAAGGAATATGAAAAAGCATTTTTCCTTTATGCACAAAACATAATTGAGATTGTTGACGTCGTTCATTCTTTAAAATATAAAAGTGCCATTTACCCAATGAACATGAATCTCTGAATATCACATCCTATCGTCTTAAGTACACTCAATTCAATTCGTTAAAACAAAAAAAAAAAAAAAAAGAAAACAGAAAAAAAAAGGATAAAGAAAAAAAAAACTGAATCGTTAACACCTCATCTAAAATAATCCCGGTCAGAGAAAAGGAAAAAAAAAGAAAAGTATTCACTGATGTAATAAAT